CAGACAATGGACCCCGGACTAGGTGCGTTCCAATAAGTCTTCCTACCAATATGACCATGTTGCGAAAACCTCTATATAAGGCTACGTTACATTCAACGGAAACGTCAGCTATACTCGTATCATTGTGGGAAAACTCAATTGCCAGTCCTTCATCACCTTAAACCAAATCGGATGAATACAACTCATATATATGATTTACTGGTAATCTCGAGAACATACGCACATACATTACTTATTTTTCATACATAAGTAGGGGTTCAAGATTATTAGTAAATGACTTATATTAGATGTATTCACCCTATTCTTCACGGCCTTAAACAAAATTGGGTAAATACATCTCATCTAACTGATTTACTGGTAGACTCGAAGCCCTACTTATGAATGAAAAATAATTTGGCTAAGTTCTTATTCAAGAATTACAGATAGTCTCGAACATAGTCACGGTGAAAAAAAGTACACATGAGTCTAGCATTAGTCGCGGGCTATTATGATTGGGGTTGCGTAAGCCCGACGTACATCTGGTTGAGATGCTGGGCCATAAGTCCATAGTTGTATATGTCATAGGAAATGAAAGTCACCACAACAGGAGGGTATCACACATTGTCTAGGATCTGCTTTTTAGTGGCAATTTGAGCAGTCGCCTTAGCCACATCCTCGATCAGCCGTTCAGTTGAACCTCGCGTTGAGCATTCGTCGGTTGCTATTCAACAGAAATGCACCGCCGCCGAAACTCGGCTCTCAAAGACTCTCATTTTTAGAATTCCGAAGCAACCAGCCCGCAGCATTTCCCATTAACTCGAACGGTACCATCATGCGTTTCCACGTCTCCTTGGTCTGGCCGGACCTTGCGACCGGACTCGAAATGGCCTCATTTGAGCCGTCCTCTCGCCAGCATGCCTCCACCTGTCTGGCACGACGTGGGCCTTAGAATGAATTGGCGCCAAAGACGAGGCTGAAGACGACACGACACAGGTTTTCGGTATCCGGAAAGCGACCCAAAGAGAGCCTCAGTCCTGCGGTGAAGCGTCAGACCAAGGATGATGAGATAGGGGAAAAAGAGGAGCCGGATGCCTAGCCCTGCAGTGTATGCAATCCAGAACTGTTTCGCCTGATTACTATTACCTTGGGGATGAGAAGGGCGAAGATGCACCGCCAGAAGTCCGTCCATCGTATGGATAGGCCAAGTGTTCCGATGCTGACGAAGTGAAACCGAGTGAACTGAGTGCCCGATCAGATTATCGCCTTACTCTGAGCCCGAGATTCACTGCACAATGAGATGGTTGCATTCGATTCCGTCTGGACACACATCACCCATCCACCCAGCAGACAAATAAACCCTCTCCCCTTCCTCCTCCTCCTCCTCCTCCTCCTAAACATCTTCATCCTCATACCCTCTTCCTCCTCCCCTTCGACCCTTCAGCCGGCCGGATTGGCTACGTTGCCAACAGGTCTGCGAGAGGCAGTTAGGCCGGTGCCTTGAGAAGCGACCCGACTGTCTGCATCCCGGAGCAGGGACAGACACGATCGTGTACACACCAACTGCTTGAGGCACGAGTCCGATCGAGAAGATGAGCCGATACGCCGAAGCGCGCAATGCACAAAAGACACGTACCGATGCAAAAAGTGCACAACATTCGGCGCAGATTGTCTCGTGCATGCAAATACCTCTTTAGACGAGGGGCATCCCCCCAATCTCCCCCCTCAACAGCCTGGTTACATGTACCAGAGGTCTAAGTGATACAGGCCTGTTGTCAAAGCCCATGGACAGTCAGTCGTAGATGATCACGTCAGTGCTCAAGTGAGTACGCCAAATAATCGTCCAATCGTCCGTGCCCTCCTCGCCTGTACACTCCTTCCACGCAATGACGCCAACCCACATTCATGTGCACATTAGCAAACATGTTCACAAACTCAATCGGACTAGAGCATGGTAGGACAAGTTGCAAAAACCAAAAATTTGCATAAAAGTCTACACACATATACACACATACGGTGGGATGGCATATTCAAGGCCAAGTGTGCACACTTATCTGGCCCCATAAGCGCATGTGCATGTAATCACACATTCTGTTCAAGCGCCAGCATTTGTGAGTAGCGTAGTTAAGAGGGACGAAGAATAGAGACCACGAAATTATGACAACAGGAATGAAACAATGCACACATACACACAGCTTCCTGAGATGATCTTTGTACTAGCGGCTGACCAGATATGCTGAAGGCATTGACCAGACTGGGTCCACCGAGTGCCGAATGGTAAAGAACTAAATTGGTTGATAGGCGGTAACCACATTATAAGTTAGGCCCAGATGAAGTGTGAAATACCGGAAGTTCAATATCGGCAAACAGTTTTACAGAGTTAAAGAAAGATGGCATATACAATTATCACAGAAACTCAAGCCACAGCCTGACTTGTCAGTTTCAAAGTGAGTAGTTATCGAGACGTTTGCATAGGCTTTCCCACAAAAGGGTGTTTACTTATCAAAAATTGACCGCAGTTTCGATTTAATCTGAGTATACTCAGCAGCTCTAGTAATGGCCTTAAAGCATACTGATCTCGCATAAAAGTAATATCGTCCAGTAGTGCGAAAAACACGAGCTTGCCAATTCGACAATCCTGCAGTAATTGTGAAGTGTGAAAGACCTGGCTTGCCTTGAAAGTGACATCTGCAATGTGACCCATGATGGTCATGGCTGTGGCGGAATGGCCGCCACGTGTTGCCACTTTGCTCGCGCGATCCGATCTAGACTAGCGTTGGAGATGCCGAATAGGCCCAGGTGACGGCGAAATGGCAATTCAGGCCGGAGGAGAAAACATTTGCGGAGGGAAGCATAACGAATTTTATAGATATTAAGCGAAGCTGTGTTTCGAGAAATTCCTTAATAGATTGATATTTCTGTAGCTTTCATTGACCCACGGGATATCAAAGGAGGATTTTCTCGGACTTGTGGTCACTGTATTGTGCGGAGAAAACCTCGGATCACCGTTTCACGACACTGATTAATCCGTGCTTAGCTTCGTTCCTTGTTGTAAAGACTTCCATTTCCTATAAAAGTCATTCAGCCATTTGATGTTTAGGTTGAAGCAGTACGTGAGGCATCCTTCTTCGTTTGGGGTGAAGATGGGCTGAGCTCTTGTCCGTCAGACGACGAATCGGTAATCCTCCTCCTGTCATATTTTCCGATCAATCTCTTCATTATGCATTTTTATACAAAATGAAAGTCTCCACAACAATATTATCTCAAGTGATTGATGGAAACCTACTTCTTCTTTGTAGTTAAGCTTTTGTCCGCCATAAGTCATCATTTGCAAAAATTCACGAAAAACCCCTAAACATTTCTTGCTTTTTTAGTGAATTTTCGTAAGGGATGACTTCTGGCTTTGACAATGCCAGTCAGATTAAGGATGAAACCTTCGCACGAACTCATCGATATTCCGGACGGGTAAGCTGAGGTATCCTTCGCAAAATACGCCCACCACAAGTCCAAGGCAATCCTTCTTTGTTGTCAGGTGTGGCCAACCTCCGAATCCTTTCGACACACCTTTACAACCAAACTGAAAGGAGCATCTACACCATGTGAAATTAATTGGTATCTTTAGGCCTGATAATGTGAAACTGGGGCTAAAACAGACTATTCTTCCTGAAATCGCCTTAGGCTACCTGATTTTTCATGTTCCATGTTCTCTAAACAAGTTTTTTTATGCGAATAAAAGTTGGGTTTTGAGAAATCTCTTGGTTCATAATTGTTGAGCCTACTTCCATTGTTTGGTAAAGAGCTTCGAAGGTCGATCCCACCAGAAGACGACGGGGGATTCATCTTGAACAGCTGTCGATTGGCCTTACTGAAACATTCTTGTCGACGCTGTTTCCGAGACGATATCCTTCGATTCCGGTGGAAACGTCCGTCTTATGACGGACATCATCATCAGGTCTCTCCATGCTAAATAGGTTTCGATGCCACTGGTGGATCATAAACAGGAACTGTACCCATTCTAGGTCACATAAGGTGATGAGTGATTAATAATGTTATGCGTAGGCCTCACGTTATTATTAAAGCTCAATTGGTAGTATCGAAACTTACACAAAATGAGCAAAACTGGCTTGGTCGATTGTAATGGCAAATATAAGTTTGCCTCGTCAACAAGCCTATACTAAATACGATGTGGGAGAGGTATGATGTTCCTGTAACTTCTCGGGGCATTCATGGTAAAATGGCGCATTGGCAACATGACGAAAGTCAACTCTGCTC